CTTGCTCGAACTCGGTTTCAGATCTGATTCAAAGGAATATCGAGGAGTTGCAACTTTTCAATTCAGTCGAGACCAAAAAGATTCAAATTCGGCCGGTCTGAAATGTTGCACGCCCCTGACTTCCACACCTTTGAAGTCATTCTTGCAAGTAAGTTCGCCCACTAAGTTTAACATACCGCCGGATGCATTATGTGCAACTTTCTTAGACTCGACCGTCTTCGGCCTCTTTATGTGATTGCATATGTTCCTGGAAATAAACGTGATGTTCGAGGCCGTGTCGAATCACAGTTTCGTTGTGATCCCATTGATCAAAACACTGATAAATCGTCGTCTCGGTTTACGCTCACTTTGGAATGCAGCAACTATGGACAGAGACTCTGCGCCAACCTTTCTAGAGTTCCTCTTTCGATATGACTTTTCCCATTCTTCCGCCGTACCTGACTACAAAATTCCTCCTTACGCCCCCGCTTGTGACACGTTTGACAAATGTGACGTTTGAACGGACAAAAACGCGCGAAATGTCATTCGCCGCATGATCAGCATGTTGTGGGCGGTTTGTTCGTAGACATCTTGAATGGTTCGCTTGAGCTGACAGTCCTAGACTTTTTCACGACGTGCACGGTATCTGATGCTGCGAGACCATTCCGTTCGATCAAGGCAGTGTCGCGTTTTAGAGTGAGCAGCCATTTGCATTCGCTTACCACGATCCTTCATGTCAGATCGGGATCTGGATGCAGCTTAGGTAAAAGCCGCTTGCGGATCTCAGCATCACTGGGAGACAGTAGAACGCTAACGAAAATGAGACATTTAAACTGATCGTCTGTTAAAGAGCATAGCTGGAAACGTGCACACTCACGGTTAATGATCTCTGCTAAGACCCCAAAGTCGTCTGATTCCCGTTTGACAATTTTCACGCATTGATAACGAATACTAAACACGAATAACGACTCACCAAAAATTTCATTCAGCTGCGACACTGCCTCGTCAAACATCAAACCCTTCGGCTGTTTGGGCAGAATATGCTCTATGAACTTTGACTGTTCACCTATACCGTGCTTGCGGAGTAGTAATCGCACCTTCCAGGAGTCGTCCTGTCGAATGAAGTCCGTCCGGAACGTGTCTTCCCAGCGCTTGAACCACGCTTCGAATGTGCATTCAGAATCCACGTCATAATTTAATTCAGTGATTTCATTGGTGAGGAGATCAGCAGTACTCGCCTGCATGTCCCACGTCGCTGCTCCTGTTGTCTGCAAACTTAAGCATTGTGTCAGCTTTTCGATTATTTTTATTTGTGCCTCCCTTAGAGATTGCTGTTGGCAAAGCAGCCTTTACGACTGTTCAGCTGAACAATTCATCACGTTTCCAGTTTTCTCAGTCGCCATTTGTTATACTCGCACTAGACACAGTTCTGAAATAAGCACTTTTCTTCTCCACTAAGCGTCTAGCCAACCGAAGTAGGAAGCAGAACGCCAATGACCTTGACAAGATAACGCGTTAACCGCTGTCAACGAGCACTGTTCAACTATCTCGGACCTTGGCTGCATTTATAGGTCTCTTACTGACCTTCGACTACTGGAATTGGGAGGTCAACTACCAAGGTTAGTGGTGCCCTATAGACTTAGCCGAGATGTCAGGTGGTTGGTAGCCATGTGCGGAATTCAGAACATTCCAGAACGTTCGGACTCGATGCGATAATCATTAATAATCGATTAGTCGCTATCAGTGAATTTTCTAGGCAATTCTTACTTTCTCATAGACGCTCATAGAGCTGGGGGCTTTGGAACGCCTCGCTTTACCGGTCCGTTGGTTAGGTTTCCCAGAAGACTGAGGTTATAATTTGCACTGCCACTCCTTACCTATAATCTTGACAAAATCGTGCTGAATCTCGCGAATAAAGCGAAACTGGTACACAGAAAGACCAATACACGAAATGTGAAAATCCACCTGACAAACGCCACACAAAACTGCGTTTGCGCGATGTCCAACGATCTTAGAGCAACTTCCACAGGGAGACTGCTTCACCATTTTTAAATATACCAGCGATCGCTACGACAGAATTTGGTAATTATCCAGTTACGGGTAACAGAAACCGATAGGCGCCTTTTCATGATGAATACATTCGGAATCACAAATGGCAATGAATTACACAAGAAGATACGTACATACACAAATTTACTAATACAGAAAACCAGGAAAACAAGCCTAAGGAAGCCATGTGAATCTAAGCAGTACATGACGACAGAGTTACTGCCGAAAACGAATAAAAATAGCTTACTGGATAATGCACAACCACAAAGAATACTAAATTATACAATTGAGGTCAAAAAATCACGATTTATGACACAAAAACTGAACAAACTGGCCTGGGAGCGGAGCGACTTATTTCGACCCGGCCGCCGTGACATGATGATGATGATGGTGATGATAAACGTGCAAGTCTGGAGACCTATGGTTGTAGAGCGTGAACTCGGTGGTCAACATGGCCATAGTACTCGCATAACAGAAAACGGTGATCGCTTAGTACAGCTCTGCGCCGATCATGGCCTCTGTCTGTCGAGTACTAGCCTTAGGCGATCCTTTTCCCAACGCACGACCTGGATGCCTCCGTCTCCTGGCCAGCCATGGATGCAAATTGACCACCTCGCCAGCAGATATCGCTGGCGGGGCTGCGTGCAGTGTTGCAGACCACGCGTTCGTGTGTGCCTAGTTCGCTTTCGTGACTCTCAACTACATCGCCTGAAACGGCTTGATTTAGTTGTGCTTCCTGCCCCAAGTGTTTTCAGTGCGTTTCAGGTTGCATTGGCTTCAAATCTCAAAAGCGCTTCATACTCTGACGCTGAAAGCACTGGGAACATATACACAGCGCTTTGCACAACTCTGCGCCCCCGGTATGGGGTTTTACCAGTAGTTCTGCACAATACCTTCAACTTCGCGAATCTTGTTGGGCAATTCCATTTGGCGTTGAGTAATGTTCACTACATATGGCCAGTACGGCTGTCTCAAGCAGGTCCTCCGGGAGGATCGCAACGGGTCATTGCAATGGAGTAGGCGGTCAGCTCGGGGAATTTCCGAAAGCCTTTCCCCCTGATCCGATCCACTGGCGGCAGAAGGCTGACTGTAAGTGAAGCTTTATGCGCGACCATTGCTAAACGCGCCGACTTAAGCGTTGGGCCGAGCATTTTGAACGACAGTTTAACTGGCCAGTAACACCGATGTTTTCCCATTCAGGAATCCAGAGTGCACCCTGGTGTGTAGACGCTTCACCACCATCTGAGGCTGAGGTCACTCATGAGCTTCGACTCCTAAAGTGTTACATAGCCCCTGGCTCAGACGAGCTTCCTCCGGCTCTTTTCCTAGATGGAGATCCATCACTTGTTCGGGAGTTTACTTCCCTCTTCCAAGTGGTTTGGACCACCGAGGCAATCCCGTCTGGTCAGAATCTAGCTGACATCGTACCCGTTTTCAAAAACGTGCCCAGTCAGACTGTGCTAACCACGGAGGGATTAGTCTCATCTACCTTGCATCTAAAGTGCTCGCCGTTCTGCTCTTAATAAGGCTCAGCTAGGTGCACAAAAAGAATATACTCAAAGAGCAAGCCGGGTTACTCTCTGGCCGAAGTTGTATCGACCACATCTTTACTCCCCGCCAAATACTCGAGCGTCGTCACACCTTCGGCCGGCCCACGATCGTTGTCTTTTTTGACATACGAGCTGCGTTTAATTCAGTTTACCGAGCTGTTCTCTGGAGCTGTCTATTGAGTACGGGAGTACCTGAGAAGTACAACATTCTTCAAGCCATCTACTCTCAAACCTTCGGCCGAGTGCGGGTGTACGGCGAATATTCGCTCTCGCTTCGATATCACCAGTGGCATGAAACAGGACTGCCCAGCATCACCCTTCCTGCTTAATTTCGCTATGGATGACATCCTGGAGAGCGCTCTGGAGAACTGTGGACACAGCGACATTGCGCTGCTTCTGGGATACCGACTTCAAGATCTGGAGTATGCAGACGGTTGGGCGATTTGGCCTGTTCATGCAAAAGGCGTTCAGAGGCTGTCTGTTTGATCATCGCTGCCTCCGGAGCATTGGTGGCATGCACTGCCGACATCACATTAGTAATAAGGATGTTCGCCGGAGGATTTCCAGATCAGACAGATTTTGCTGACCGCTATGCCGCATACTTTCACTTCATAGGCTTCAGTGGCTTGGGTACGTGCTTCGCGTGTCTACTGAGCGTTTGCCTCACCGTTCACTGTTTTCGCGCACGGAAGTCGGCTGGAAGCGTAGACAAGATAGTCAGTAAATGATTTGGGCCAGAATTATTAAGGCGCTGACCTCAAATTTGGCCACTGTCGGGCTCTGTGGATTCCCTTATTGAAGGCGCAAGGATCACAAGCACACAGCTTGAAACCCTGTCCGACATGTCAAGAAACCGTGAGCAATGACGAATCTGTTGTGTGACTCTGCCCCAATTGCTGATGTCCTGCACTTCTCCTTTAACCCCCCTGTTCTTTCATAATGCTTGTATTATCTTTGTTCGTACATTGTGGCACTCTGCTACGTTTTTGTTGGTCAAACGTTTAATATATATATATATATATATATATATATATATATATCACAAAGGTTATGTTTTCTGGGAATCAGCCTTCCTGATGTGGGCTAATTCTCTCTCATTGTTTCTTTTGTTTCTGATTGTCACTCTCTATGGATCATATCATTGGTTCGTCGATAGGACTAACGAGCAGCTCCATGGTTCATACCACCCACTCGGCTTTGCAATTTGTACTTTTGCCTATTGGCTACTTTCTGCGTTTGTTGGTATCATTCCTTGTTTTTTACTCTTCCCCTGCCCCTTATAAAAGTCTCAGCCTTGCTTTTCTCTCTATCCTTAGGGTTCCCCTTTCCAACTAATTCACACTCTTATAAAGCGAGATCAGTTGATATACCATTTCTGCTTAGCCTCTTTGCTTCATACTTCTTTCCGTTTTCTTCACACAGTCACAAGCTCGCAACAATCGTACCAATCTACGAAGTGGCCAAGCCCATGCCGTACCGGCCAGTACTGCAACTACCACCACTTCAGGGAGTTCGTCTTCCGTTCCTTCTGAATGCTTAATCCGGCAAAAGTCCTTAGATGAGGTCATTTCTTATGACACGATAAAACACACTTTCCCTCAGGTAGCCTATTCCTCCGATTCCTCGCTGGGGCAGGAGCAGACTCAATTCCAAATGCCGACTGCTGCGCGCTTGCAGTCCTCGATCGCGTTACCATCTCCAGCTATACAATCATTGCTCAGTCAAGATTCCCACATGGAAATGAGTTCATCGGAACTTGCAAACGTCACCAGTATTCGTCCAAACCACGGTGTTCACGCGATCATGATTGAATCTGCTGAGTTCAGAGTGAATGAAGCTCCTTATGCCGCCGAACACCTACCACCTTCGCTTGAACTCATTCATAAACGAGTGCGTTATCCATACGAAATGTCTTCCTCCAATCCTGGTCACTTGTATACGGATCATTTCATGCGGTAACTTTTGTTTTTTTTCTTTACTCCCAGAAACCGGAACTATCTTCCCCTTGTAACACGAGCCCGAGTTTTTCCTCCAACCGGCATTCTTCGATGGATAGTCTGAGTGGCTCAACTCGTTATTCTCCCCATGAAGCATCGCAGTGTGAACAGCATTCGGCCACGGCTTCTATGTCCATCGTCTCTTCCATTCCTAGTGCGCACATGTTTTCGAAGTCCTCACAACCACCCACCTCAGCGAATCCACAAGCCTATACCCTTAATTCGACCATGTGTTCTTCTGTTCAGCCACCACATCGTTCCAATTGTCACTCGTTCTCACAACAAGCTGCAATCAACTCTCATTCACAGCTATCACTTTCTGGGTCCTCCTCACCTTCGTTAGGGAGACGACAGTCTTCTTCAGTAAGTGCATACAGTCTGTTCCTCGATTTATCGTTTACACTTTTGAATGTCATCTAATCTTGATTACTTCGAGAGCTCTCTCGTCCTCTTTATCCTATTGCCGTTTTACTTCCTAGTTGTCCTCCATTTCCAATACAAGTCCTGCGTCAATGCCGCCTGTGCGGACTTCGGACTGCGCGTCACCTACATTCACACTTCCGCCTCATGGCCACACAGCAGGCGTGGGTCCCATCTCTCCATTAAACCCCAGCCTCGCTTCACCTGGCTGTTCACGACCGTCATCAAGGCAGCTGATAGCTTCGGCACCTCCTCTGCCTCCTCCTACTTGGCCTCCGTCCTCTTGTCTCGGTTTGACTCAAGGGATTATTTCACCGAATCAAGCGAAGCGAACCCTCTCTCCAGTGACCCAGCCCCACTCGAATTCGACCGCAGTGTCTCCCATATCGCTGAGGTCTCCTCTTGGCTCGCACAACCTACCCGTCTCTGGCTTCCATCCACATTCACTGCAAGGGGGATCAGCATATCCACTAGCCAGTCCGTCTCTGTCTCCAGCTGTTTCACCATCCAGCCTACTGGGTGTTCACCGGACCAACCAGTTAAACACTTCGACTCATTGTTCCCCGTATCCATCACATGCTTCCCATCCGCATTATTCTGCCCCGGCCACCGGACATGTGAGTATGGTGTGAATTTGTTTTGGGGCATCTTCGCACTTTGAAATTTCTTGTTTAGCTTTCAGAAGATTTATTACTGAGGTTGTTTTCTTCTTTTATCCTGAAATCGCAGTCGATCAACGGGCACTTATCTGGGCGTGCTGTCGCTTCCCAACACATTGGCGCCGGTACATCATTGCATCAAAGTATCAACTACATCACTTCCACCATATCATCTTCCATTCAGCGGTCTCCGCCAGGCCCGCGCTGTGGCTCCACTCCCGCTCCATCACAATCCGCTTCACAACTGGCACAAACGAAATCCATGGGCACCACCTGCAGTATGGGTGGCAATGGCTATTATTCCTTAGGATCTTGCAATACCGAAGTCTCACACAGTGTGTCCGTAGAATCCGACCACACTACACGCTGCCGCACCTCTTCCTTTGCGAACTCTTCAGGTACTGAAAATCAGCAAGGTGGCCCTCAATCTTCTTACACCCCGCACGGACTGTCACAACCACAGGCCGTCTTTTCCAATGCTGAAGTCGAACGCCAACGGCTGAAGGAGATCTTAGCCAAACAAGTTCATCAGCGTCAAATACATCAGCAACAAATTCTTCAGCAGCAACAACAGCAGCTTCATGATCAAGAACATATGATGCACCATGTGTCTATGCCGTCCCAAGGTCACCATGGTCAACAGATGTTAAGTAATACATCTTACGCAACAGTTGACCAACCGAGCCCAATTGGCCTTCAGCAGCACCAATCACCACATACTACCAACCCTCTTGGGCCGGCCTACGTTGGTTATCCCAGCCATACAACTTGGCAATACCATTCTCCGTCCATTCTCTCTAGGCAGCAAACGAAACAGGCCTACTTCCCTCAGCAAGCCGTAAACATGGCATCACCATCGTCCCATTTACTCTATCAACAACTTGCTTCCAGGCCGGCTTCCCTGTCTCCTGTAGCATCTAGACCTGCGACAACTCCGCTTGGACACTCACCACAGGCCGTCTCTCCAGTGGTTCATCAGCATTCTACGCACCACCTTACACCCTCACCCTCTCCGTGTTCCCATGATTACCTTTCTTCGGTTGCAGCGTCGAGTGGACCAAAGGCGTCGCACATTCCACCCGAGCTCTTTCATATGTCTTCGTATGCACAAGAGGCCAAATCCCAGTTCGCTTCACAGGCACTCAGCTTTGCGCAGGTTGGTGACATTCAGTCCACTTCAGGACTTTCTTTGGGCTCTGCACCCAATCAAGTCACTGATGCGGTAAGTTTTTCAGCCCCCAACGTCTTCACATCAGCTTCTTTCAACAATATCTTGTAGCTCGCTAGCTTTTAGTACGACTCATGCCACGTCTTCGCGCCAATAAATCCTCATATGTGCACTATTATTTCCATTTTTGAAGACGGTTACACTATGCCTCGGTTTGCATTGTGCGGCTTCGCTTACGTACTGGTCTTGATCCGCTGTTTTCGATCTCTGAGTTCAACGGAACGCAATCTGAGTCGCTGTGCTGCCACTCGAAGTGGCGTTCTCAGCCTGAACCATTACCATTTTATGATGGGCTATTCCATCCTGTTACCAGCACTAGCATGCGGGGCTTACTCTTCACGGATATTCTCATCATTTTCCTGTTACTGTTCGATCACACCGTAGCGTGGTACTGTTCTTTGTAATCTCTTCTCCCATCTGCCGATGATTCTCGAATACATGGGCAGTGTAGATACTTTATATCAGACGGCAATCGGCTAGAAATGCCAAACAGATGCGGTTTGAAACCATAACAAGACACCTATTTTGATGTCGACCTCCATTGAACTTGACTCTGATCTACGGATTCCAGAGTTCTATGTGCCACGTGCGTGCTCTCGCTGGTTGACGTCGGTTGTCCCTTGACTGTCCCTACCATTTCTCAGCCCATTGGATCCATAGTGCTTCCAGATTCTTCCTTAAAGGAACCATGTTCATCTACAGCTCTTTCGAGATGATCCATAACGCTTTCAAATTGAATCCAGCGGGCACAAACGCTCCTAAATAATACGACCCATTGAGTGACCAAATCCAAATCACAATATCATCCCACTCTGTATGCTCAACAGTTATATTATCTGCTTATTTGAGCTTGGTCACTCAACGACCAGCACGTAATTTTTGGAGTGTTTGCACCCGTTGGGTTCTACTTAAAAGCGTTATGTACCATCTTGAAAGATCTGTGGAGGGACATGATTTTTTAAGGAAGAATGTGAAAACGCCATGGATTCATATGGTTCAAGCAGAATCAACCGTATCCGTTAGGAGGAAGCAACGCCGAGACGCCTCAATCGTACGTAATTTTACGGAGGAGATCATTCGACATTGGTGCTTCTGGCTTCTCGTTTGCCATGTACCTTAACTTCGTGGTATTGTGGACTCTGAACTTGACATCCCCTATACCATTTCAATTAAACGGCTATGCTAGGTGTTCAGAACTACGATTGAATTGCTTACATTTACTGGCATCACACATAGGATTAGCAACAATGGAAAAGTGAAAGAAATGGTTGACCTAAAGCCGATCGATATTAGCTTGTGGTTTACCAACAATTTCAGTCCTACAGCGCCTGAGGCACTACTGCGTAGGCAACTCATGTTCAGGAGGTGGTCCGACTCAGTTCCAAAACACCAACTTCTATACTTGCTTGTTACTCTATCGGTCTTTTCATCCCGATATTTCTTTCATTAGGTATTTATTTTTCCATGTAGTTGTCAGCACCGTTCCTTTCTCCGAACTTTCATTCTTTAAAGGAACAGGAATCGGAACAACTAAGCTACGTTGTTACTTGATTTTATTCGCTGTCATTGCTCTTGCTCTTCATATGCAGTGAACCACGTGTTAAGTGATCGGCGGATGCATGTCGAATGCCCCGCCATCCCTTTATGTGTTTTAAATTTGAGCTGTCGGTGATGCCTTTGAGGTTCTTGTATTTGAGTTGTCAACTTGTTTAAAATAGCTGGCCATCGCTTTGTTATCTGGTGCTCTGCTTTTCTACTACTGCTTGTAATACTTCCCTTGTTTGACGAAGATTGGTTTGATGATTGAAACACGAATGCCTTCCTGACCAAAACATGTATGAGATGCTCCCCACGACATTTTGACGGTCAAATGTTTTTTTTACTTTATGTTCTCTTTTCTCTTGCCATACCCGGCTTTCTTTGCGTCCTGTTGGTTTAAATGCGACGCATTACTTTCTATTTGCTATCTTGATGCTTACCAAGTCACCGTTCCCATAAAACGCGAAACCCACACTTCAATTTCCGGTCCACTATGAACGACCGACCACCTCTGTGCAGCTGCCTGTGTTATTCATGATGCCAACAAATGAACTCGAATATGCAATACCTCGGTATGGGAACGAACATCCACAATTCCAACTCCAGTTCATTTCACTTAAGAACGATGATGCGAGCACCAAAGTGCGGTACATCCCGTTACCACCACTCACGTCTTCAGAATACCAATATAACCAACAGCAAGAAAGTGAGCTTGAACGCAACAAGATTGCAAACAAAATGGGTGAAAGAAGTGCGTTAAAGTAATCGAGCTTGAAGACAAATTAACAGCTAGATGCAAGAAACCCATTGAGGGAACATATCCGACTGCGCGATGTCTGATAGAGCCCCTAACCACAAATGTGGACCATCCCGAGGCTACTATCCACGATGATGGAACGTACCAGCCTGACTAAGTCTCTCAGTCAATAACTTCTTGCGTTTATTCCGTGTCATCGACTGGCCAACTCGCGGTGTCGCCCATTTTGGTGCGGCGACGGTGCGGTATGCACGCCGATGAAGGTGGTCAACCGGTGTACGGAGGACATGACCTAGACAACGTAAGCGGTTGCGTTTTAACAAACACTCGAGTGAGGCAGCAGAAGGCTTCTTACCGAAACCCAGCTGGCATTGCTCACTTGGTGTTTCCACGAGATGTGGACAATACTCCACGAGCACAGGCCATCAAACACGGTCAATCGTTTGATGTCTTCATTGTAAGCTGACCAGGTCTCTGTTGCATACCGTGACACTGTCCTTATCGCAATGTTATACACCCTAGCTTTCAGTGACAGATTGATATCCCGCCGTCTCCTTAAATGGTAGAGTCTCTGAGATGCTACAAGGGCCATGTTGATGTGCGATGTAATTTTATCAATGATTTGACCACCAGAATTGACATAGGTGCCAAGCGAACCGATCTACCACTTCCATTGACTGTTCGGTACTAGCTGGAACTGGTGGCTTATGGGTTCAGTTCTGCAGAAACACCATGCATTCTGAATTTGCAGTGCACCTGTCTAGGCGTATAGTTCCATGCGTCAGTCATTACATTAATGCTTGCGTTAGTCACTGCGTCCCACCCAAGGAGAGTTCTATCGTACGTATACTCAAAGTTTCTCGGTCATTGACTTAATGGAACTACGCTCCGGAACAGTCTGAGGGTACGGAGTCATTGGACACAACTTACAAGGTGTGGAGCCGCTTCTAGGTGAAGTTGACATGTAGTGTGCTGACAACATTGCCCTAATCTGTGACAGCTCACAAACGTGCCAAGCTGTACTGTACAGGTTAGCATTGGTTGTCAACCGTTTCGGGCTTTGCTTTGCACCCTCAAGTGCAAAGCTTTCCCCCAAAATTGACAGAAAGCGCTTCTTGAGCTAACCCTTGTTGGAGATAAACTGGATGTTGTTCAGAAATTCAACCACCTAGGCACTTGTATCAGTGCCTGTGGAATCGAAGACGAGTTCACAACCCGTATAGCAAAAGCTCGAAGCCCTTTTGTTAAACTTCGCTACCTATGACGATTGCGTGACATCACTCTCATCCTGAAGGGTAAAGTGTACAATGCAGCCGTACGTTCGACACCACTGCACAGTTTTGTAGCATCACCCATTAGATCGACTGACATAAAATGGCTAGTTACGCTCGACCACCATTCCATTCGCAGTTTGGCTCATATCGAGTGGGAACACCGCGTGAGTAATGAGCGTGTCCGACAACTTGTTTATGACGTAGGAAGAGATAGTGCGTTGCCGGATGTTTCTGTGCGTATTTGTGGTGACTATAAACTAAATGTTAATCGTTGTTTAATTCTGTTTAAGTATGCTGCGCTGGCAGGCGGACAAAAGTTTACACGCGTAATTACAAATTGAGTTAGACGAGACCTCTCGTTCATGCGCTACGATAAGTACACACATGGGTCTATTCCTGTACAAACAACTGCCCTTCGGAATCCGTTCGGTTCCAGTGGTATTCCAAAGGATCATTGATAACCTTATCAAAGATATTCCTTTTACTTGCGCCTATCTTGACGATTTTCTGATTACAGCACTACAGATTCTGAACATTTTCAAACGCTATCCACATCTACGACAGAATGGGCTCAAACGGAAGAAGTCCAAGAGTATCTTTTTCTCAGTTTCTGTTCGTTACCTTGGTTACCGTCTCGATAAAAATGGATTACACGTGTTAGAAGACGAAGTAAAGCCCATCCTTTTAGCACCTTAACCCAAGTATGAAGCTGAACTCCGATCGTTTTTAGGGATCTTTGCTCACTATCATCGTTTCTTACCTAACGCCTGAACAGTATTTGCACCCTTATACCAACTGTTGCAAAAGGGGAAGTTCTGGACTTGGGTTCCGGATCAAAGAAAGGACTTCTCAGATGCAGAAAGAGTGCTCAGCGCCTCTCCGTATCTCTTGCATTTTTGATCCTATCCGGCCTCTAGTGTGGCAGTATGACGCTTCCCCCACGCGGAGTAGGCGCACTCCTTTGCCACCGGATGGATGACGGTTCTTTTGTCCTGTCGCTTTTGCTTCTCGCACTCTGCAACCCGCTGACAGGAATTACTCCTAACTGGACAGCGATGCTTTAGCGATTATTTTCGGAGTCAAGCATTTCCACCAGTAGGTATGGGAAAGTGGGTTTGATATCCACACCGGCCATAAACCACTCCTTTCGCTTCTGAATGAGGAGAAAGGAATCCAACAGAAGTCTTCGCCTCGAATGCAAAGGTGCGCACTACTTTTGAGCGCTTTTAACTACAAACTTCATTATGTAAACGGACCAAGTAATACTATTGCTGATGCACCTAATCGCCTCCCGCAGCAGCATGGCGCACAAACGAATCCTGAACCCATGGAGTTTCTCAATTTGATGCAACACCTTGAAAAGGCACCTATCCGGAGTGACGTGGTGCCGCGCCTGACGGACCGGGACCCTATGTTGTCGATGGTGAAACGGTTCTTGCTGACCGGATGGCCTGCAGGAACGTCAGACGAACTGAAGCCATTCGCCTGTCGGAGTAATGAGTTGAGTCTATACGACGGCTGTATATTTAGAGGCTCACTCGTTGTTCCACCAGAAGAACTACAGCCCCAATTACGGATAGAGCTGCATGATGCACGCCCCGGCGTGAACAGGATGAAGGCGCTAACACGTGGTTACTGTTGGTGGTCAAACATGGATCAGGATATAGAGCGACTGCTGAAAAACTGCGAACAATGTAAGAAATACCAAAGGCAAATATCTTCCGGACCCATACATCCATGGCGTTGGTCAGAGAGGTCCTGGCAGCGGGTACACGCAGACTACTTTGGCCTAATCAATATATTGATGTGCCTACTTTCTATTGATGCCTATTCTAAATGGATAGAAGTACATCCAGTTCCACACGCGACTTCCGCATCAACGGTTGCACAAATGCGCTCTTTATTTGCCATTTTCGGTCTCTCAGCGACGGTATGCGGCGACAACAGAACCCCATATACCAGTGAAAAGTTTCAACAGTTCCTGAGTAACAACGGAATACAACACACTAAGTCTACGTCGGCCATCCCTCGTTGAATGAAATGATAGAACGTGCAGTCCAAACTGTTAAGCAAGGTTTCCTCAAGTAGACTCATGTAACTCTACAAAGTAAGTTGGATCGTCTCCTGTTCTCTTAACACACGACACCGACTGAGTCGACAGGGAAGCCACACGCGGAATTATGTTTGGTCGGCCACTACGAACGGGACTGCACCTACTTTTTCTGAACCCTCGAATGAGGATGGAAGAAAAGCAGGAGAAAATGTATTTGGATGAAAAATGCCAGAGGAAATGTGTCTTAATGATTTTGATCCGGTATACACAATACTGCTACACTCATGTCCTCAACGAGTAAGCAAGCGGAGCTACAGCTGAAGGACGGCCTTGTGGTACGCCACCATTTTGACCATATCCGGTCACGCTTAAAGGAACCACAGAAGTGGGATCAAAAAGCGACTGCTATTGACCCAATAACGGACGGGGAATCTGCTTCACAAAACCAGGAACCACAAACAGATGCAATACAACCACAACTAAGATGCTCAAAAAGCACGCTTAAGCCAATTGATCAGTATCAACCCGGAGTCTGCAGGTTTGACCAGGGAAGCAATGGGTGTCACGTATGCACGTGAACACAGGCACTCACACGATTGGTTGAGAATGACCTTGCCTTACTTTCTTTATTTCATTGGTTTTCCTTTACGGCTTTTCTAGCCACTGTAACACAGGATGCTTCTAATAAATCGGTCCATACTACGCGTACGCATTCATCGGCTAAAGCTCATACTTAACAGAAGAGGAGAGGCGAATGGTAACCTCTCGCTACTGTAGTCGGTGGGGGGCATAGACGGAAGTAGTGAAAAGCGCTTTATCTTTATACAGTGGTTCTTAACTCTAATAGAAGTTTGAAGTCGAATCGCATACAGACAACTATCCACTGACATGCAGTCGAGCATATTTGCTGACACCGTGCTTTTTTGAGCCATTGATTCAGTATCGCTAAAAATACGATAAGTGCCGGCTGATTCGGAGTCTGGAGTGGTAGATTTATGCCGATGCTGTTACCTTGTATGCGTGTTTCGCAGACACAGCACCTGACTGTACCAGGAGAATGGAGAATAAGAGTTGGTGCTGCCTATTGACCGAGCTGACCCAGAGTGTGAACGTTAAACGAACCACTGCTATGAGGTTCTTTGTTTGAAGGGCGAGTTACATATGTCGATGGCAGCAACTGCGAGGCCAGCGGCAGTCTCTTGCTCAGTTGACGGGGAAGAGAGTTGCGAGGGGATAGCAAAATAGGACGAAGGGGTCAAAAGAACAGATGATACTCTCCGGTTTCCCGTTGCACCTTCCGTAAATTTGAGCTCTATTTCGAAGGAGCTGGAAACAAGTTGGACGTTGGATCCGAACGATGCGTCAATTTTCCTGGTCTTTTAGCCATTTCTTTTACACTAATGGTTTTCTCTAGAGTCGAAGACATCAAACGTCCTCCTTGACAGCTTGGTATTTGGTCATGGTTTTTACCTTACCTTATCCATTCGTTTTTTCTAACATATTTTTATTCAGACGTATTCCATCGGTTCTTCAACTCCGGATCCATCACGGGCATCAATGCAATCCTCATTCTCACCACGGGAATCTGCACCTGGATTAGAAGAAGTTGGTTTTGAGCCACCTGTAATCGTTAGCCGGGTGGTGGCAACCAAAGAGAAGCGCAACCCAAGTACACATACTTCGAATATTTTACAGCATGCTCAAAATATCCCACTGCGCCCGCCGTCTCATCTGGTTTTGCAGACCCAACAAACACATCTATCTCCTCAATCGACACTAGCTGAATTGAGGATGACCATGTCCTCCGGCGCGCTGGAATCATCAGGTGTGTTCCAGTCTTGCGTCCTATAAACATAGCGAACCTACTCTCTTTATTTATCATGCTTATTTTTCGCTTTGACGAAGCATTGATCTTGTTTGTCGTCAACGGCTATGACAAATCTGGTTGCTATGACTACCCCAATGGTTGTTGCAACCAGCTGACTTCATTCTATGGGTGCTTACTGGCTGTGATTGAGCATTCTGCTTGCATTGCCGCCAATTTTGATCGCATTCTACTTATCCCTTGATCCACACTCTTCTTTTTTGATTTTTTGCCTTGTGCATTTCCGTCTTTTTGTAGTCCTTGCTAGCCACGCTGTCACAGCTTTGCCCCTAAATTTGGTCAAAAGATACCGACCAGCACTTTTACCTTATTACCCTATTAGATTGCTCTGGCACCCTATTGGCTGAGCCAACTACCATAAAGAACTCCGCACTTGTCTCTCGTTTAGGCTGGTTTTGGGTAGCCTTTTGCTCCCGGTACACTGCAGAAAATTCGTTTGCTATAGTTTGTCGGACGATACATCACGGTTCTTGTTAAACTGTTGATTTCAAGCTGGTTTACTGCACTCACGTTTTGTGTATAGTGAAAAAGACACTAGGTTTCTTTTGGATTATTCACTACCTTAACTGTCAGGTGTCCTCTTGGAGCCCCTAGAAAATTATACATGATAAACAGGTTTGTTTTCCGTTGCTGAATTTACGCTGCACTGACGCGCCTCTATGTGCCTTTACCACTGATTCCGCCCGTCAATCCTAAGTCGTATACCCCATCGCAACGAAACTGGACCTTAGCCTGGTGTGATGGTTTGCGCACCCCCGTGACGCATTTAGCTACGCTGAATAGTATTTTCCAAGTGCCTCCAGAGCCACTCATATCAGACAGGTCAATGGTTAGTGGTCAGACTAACTCAGTCTCACTATCCAACTTTTTTCATTGTTTATCGAGAGGTCGATCTCCTTCTTCCTTTAAATCTTAGTCATGGGAGACAACAGGTCTGCGGGTTATAAGCTCACAACTCTATTGGTTTTGAGCACGAGCTCCACGCATTGTCTCTAACGGTGAGGAAACACGTTCCGCTGCTCATGATTTGCTACCATTCGTCTCAAGCCAAATAGCCCCTGGTTAAATTGGCGCAAACCCTCCAACTCCAACCTTCGGCCAGCCGTGGTCGCAGGTGTGTAACGTACTATGGTCGTAAAACACACGTGACTTGTTCCAAATCCTCAAAATTTTGTGTGGCAGATCTCAATGGGTCTCTCTAATCACATTTCCGACCTGGACTTGCTCCATACCGTCTTGTGGGTAAGGCTATTGAGCCAAAGGCTAGGGACAGAGCACCTCGAACAAAACCCCTCACAAAAAAGGGCAGCCGGAAAGTATCCTGTGTCCTCTGGACCACATCGACAGTACTCTGAATTCTCCGTGTTTTTCTCCTATCCCAACTATCTTTCCCGTCTGTAGAACAAGAGACAGCCGCTGATCTAGACTTTCACTTCACATTGCTTCTTTTAACGTCCGCATTATGGGTCATCTTGTCCAGCAGGCAGCATGAACTATCATACTCCACTCTCTTGATATTGATGTGTGCTGTGTCTCCGAAACACACATGCAAAATAACAGCGTTATGACAAGTCTTCGACTCCGTGATCCTGATTCTGGCGACGATGACTACACTAATCGCGTCTTTGGTGACACTGTGTCATTGGCTCAAGGTATTTACAGTGTTGGTGTTATCCTCTGTAAATATGCTGAAGGCAGTCTTCTCGACTGGAAACCGACGAACAGCCTCATTTGCACAGTTCGACTTCGAACCTCTGTTGGAGTTAATAACTATCGTTTGATGACAAGGTGCCTGTTCATCTCCACAGTTTATGCTCCTACTGAATACAATTCAGAGGGCATCTAAGATGATTTCTGTCAACAGCTGTCATCTCTTCTTCGGATGACGAGGAATACTGACCCCGTTTTTCTTACTGGTGACATGAATGCTCAAGTGAAATCGTCTTTCAGACTATTCGGTATTTTGCATCTGGTCGTTATTTTTCCATTGTGATTACTTGAAAGCACTTCTATTTGCATTCAATCTCACAATTTTGCAGTTGCTATTTACTGTTCTTTTTGAAATATGAATTGTGGCTACTGGTTCCACCTCACTTCGGTGCTCAGAGCATATTTGTTCAACTGAACCGGCCGTAAACCACTGAGAACTTCGTTCTTCGAAATTGCTTCGTTATTTTTTGGTAGGTGCATAAGTCCTGCGTTCCACTTCGCAATGATGGAGCAAATTATGAGAATCATTACAGAGTGTAGCGTTTAGCTTTTCCTTGCAATCGGGAGCGAATCTGACTCTTTGTAGAGACGGATGCGTGCCATACTTCCTTTATATCACGTTTTTCTTCGTGGTCTCTTATTGAAGGTGCATTCCATTCGAAATATCTAGTGTGTCTTCATATGTGCTTGATTCACTCATCTACGATTCCCTCTCCTTCTTCATATCCTGTCTGCTCAATTTTCACCTTCTCCGCGCCCTATCTAACGATTCAACCATGCAGAAACGGCTTCTATGTTTCAGTTACAGCCGTGTTTTATGCTATTTCAAACTTTCTTAGCACCTCTTGCATTCTCCTATCACTGATTGACCACAGCACTCTCATGTGTCACTCCTTTGAGCTCTGGAGTAAGTTCTCCGTCCGCTATTCATCTTTCCATCAAGCCTACGTCTTTGGTGTAGTGTCTCTGTGTCGCTGATCATCTTTGTTCCCCATGGCTGTCGTACTACTCCTAGTTTGTATACTGTTTGTTTTTCTTTGCTACATTTGATAGCCGGTATCCATGTGATTACTCCCGGCGCGCATCATGAATGTATTTCCCGTTGCCTTTTACTGTCAGTCATGCCATTAATGCACGTTAGCCGACGGTGAGAGACACCTCAGAAAATGCGCCGCAGTACAAAAGATATAAGAGATTATACATTACCATCTACAAAAGCCAAAATAGTAACATAATACTAAATATCCTGTTATGTATTGGGTTTGAGCCCGTTGTTGGAGGGGGAAACTAAAAGGGATGAAAGAACCGAAGACTCAACTGTAATGTCGTCTCCGTCGTACGGCAATAGATTCGTCGCCCCCTGTTCCGGATTGGTCGCCCAGTAACCAATGCCGGCTAGTTCAGTGACGGGACGCTCCAAACTTCGCTCGTAGCTAGACCTAATTGACGCGTGAATTGCTCTCGCGAACTGTACCCCGCGCGTAGGATAGACGGACGAACGGAGTGGAACACCCCCGATTAATCGCACACACCCAAATTCTGCCGACTAATTGACCGAGGCACAGTGACTATGCCGATTGATTAATGCACATTCCGTAGTCCCGCGCGCACGAAAGAAAGGAGACAGACCTATGCATAGTGCTTGTCACGAATAAGCAAAAGCAATACAGTCCAGGACGCCGCTTTGGTTGTGGCGTGAATGGCCCACTACGTTGAGGTCTGATATTAAGAAAACATCTCCAACTTCGTACCCGCTTAACTCACCCTGAATATACTCCGTTGGGGGCAGCAAATTCGTCCAGCAGCGCGTGGCCTGGTGACATGGGCGGCGGTGCGTAATCTCTACGGAGTTGCTTGGCCCTCCTGCAACACCTCCCCTTGCAGCTGGGTTGTACCGCTTCTGAACGGGGTTGATTTGGCGATCTACAGATTCCTCATGTTCGTGGGCGATGGGAGTTGTCGATTGGATGGATGACTTCTGCTGACGTCTACTTTTCTGCTGCAATGCCAAAGGTGTGCGGAGGCACGTGCACAGACGGACTGGCTATGTGGATGGTTCCTTGGCTCGCGCCCGAAGTTGTTTGCGATAGCGGACCCACATGCCACCCCCTACGGCGATGTGTAGCAGTTCACCTCGGCGAGCCGTCACTGTTGTTTCTATCCAGCGACGATGACCTGTTCGATATTCACGGGCGTAAACCGGGGCTCCAATGAAGAACTCATTACGATTGGTGAAGATAGCAGGTTGCGTTGGCTGCTCTTCGCTTGGGATGAGCGCTTTGTGACTGATGCGCAGCTTACGGCTCATCAGTGCTTCGGCTGAAAACCGATCTCCCGGAGCTGCTTGTTTGATGTAGGCCAGTAAAAGTTCTTGAACACCTGAAAACCTGCCTTGATGGTCCCCTCCCCACCAGCTTTCAAGTGTGTTCTCTTAATGGTGACCACGAAACGCTTCACTTGACCGTTGGACTGAGGATGGCACAGTGGTGAGCGGAGGGGTTGAACACAATGACGTCGACAGTAATCTTCGAACTTGGTAGACATAAACTTCGAGCCATTATCGGACATCAGGACATCATGAGGTCTAAGTTAGCTGAAGATCCGCCGCAGACAAGCCAGAGCGGCAGATGCAGTCGGTAGGTTGACGATGATGGCACGTACCGTACCATTTTTGGGACCTATGTGAAATTCTTCTCACATTCCATCTACTGCTCACAACTCAGTCGTGCTGTTTCGCGTTCTTATCCTTGTTTCTCTATTTTTTTTGACTTTCCAATTTAGTCTTGTACCTATCGTTTTTGAAATCACGTCTTTCTCCGTGTACTTGCCTAATTTTCGATTAGCACTATGATAAACATTGACACCGGGCACTTCTTTTTCGTTGTCTCTTATCCCCAGCCTCTCGTTTCTACTCGCTATGTCTTCGGCCATACACTTCTCGTCGTTTAGTGCACCATTTCGCTCGATTGCTCTTGTCGTTGCTGGCATTGTTTGCTTCTAATACTTATTGTCACGATGGGAAGTTTATTCACCGCACTACTTTGCTCAGCCCATAATTTGATATTTTGTGCTGAACTACGAAATTTTCATGACTCAAACCTACGAGTGCAAGAGTTGAGTTGTGTGTGTGCCATGCTTTTCGACTAAGTAAATATTTTATACTACCATGAAATTTGGTTGCCTGCCACCTTCATCTAACTTTGACTTTGTGTTTTCCTCCGACTCCGCAC